CAGAAATAATTTCTCAGGTAACTACAGAGATAGTGACCATAATGAAGGACACAGTAGATAGTAGATACGGATTTAAAAAAAAAATAGAGGAGCTTAGGAAAATGATAGAAACTGTGAATACTCAACATAAGAAAGAAATGGAATCCATGAAACACATTCAAACAGATGCCAGGAGATTAAAAATTCCCTTGAAATTATGAGCAGCAGAATGAGCCAGTGTTAGACAGACTATAAAATATACAAGACAGGATTGCAATTAGCGATCGTGAAAAGAAAGATTTCTTAAAAATAGCAAGGGACCATGAACAAATCAATGCAAAACAAACAAAAAATCCAGTTGCTACTGGACAATGCAAAGAAGAATAACATGATTTGTTTGTTTTTGGTTTTTTTGGTTTTTTTCCAATACCAGGAATTGAACTTATGACCTTGCACTTGCAAAGCAGATGCTGTGCCATTGAGCTAAATCCCCAGCCCCAGAATAACATGATAGATCAGAGTCAATGAAAAAGCAGGAGACAGTGCAAATGATATAAATAACTGGTTCACAAAAGTAATGGCATGAAACTTTCCTGGCAGAGAAAAATAATTTGACACATAGTTAAATGAGGCATATAGAATGCCATTTAGCCATGATCAAAGAAGAAATCTACACCAAGGCATATAATAGTCAAGGTTCCAGAAATTCAACACAAGAACAGAATGTTAAAAGCAGTTAAAGAAACAAATCACCTTTAACGAGACACCCATCAAAATTACAGCAGACTTCTCAGCACAAATCCTGAAGTCAAGGAAATCTTGGAAGTATTTTAAGCCTTGAAACAGCCTCCAACCCAGATTGATTTATCTTTCAAAACTGATGGAGAAATGATATGCCTGAAGAAATTTGTGACCAGCAAATCAGCACTCCAAAATGTTTTTAATTTTAAAGAGAGTAGTAAAAAAAAAAAAAAAAAAGCAAAACACAAAACAAAGCAAGGACATTAAAAATGATATGGGGCTTCAAACCAAATGACAGGGATTAACAGTGATTGTTACGTTACATATTGGTATCTTCAACAAAGTTGCTCAGATTACCAGATGCAAGACTGGAAGACTGATCAAACCATTAAAGAGAATAAGAAAGTAATTTTTTTTTTTTGGTACCGGGAATTGAACTCGGGACCTTGTGCTTGCCAGGCAGGCGCTTGTGCTGCTGAGCTATATCCCTGGCCAAGAAAGTAATAATTGAAAAAAACAGAGACAATGCGGAGTCTCACTAGACAGGATGGTAGGAATTCACCAGTGTTCATTATATTGCATATTGTTGTCTTTTCATGAGTTGCTCAGACTAGCAGATATAAGCATGCAAAACTGGCCAAAATAAAAAAATTCAAGCACTAACTGTTCCCTTCAACAAACCACCAGACATCAGTGGTACAGTTATCCCAGCTATCCTTCCATATACATATATATGTATATATATGTATATATTGCCTTCCTTCTTTTTCTTCTTTCCTTCATCCCAGTTGTTCCTTCCTTTGTGCAATTTTTTCCCTTTCATATGATCTATTGTACAGTTTGGGTTTTATTTATTATTTTATGTTCTTACACTAGGGAGACAATATGATGTTTACACATGTGGGTCCTATTTATCTCATTTATGAGTATGGTCTCTAGTTACATTGTGTTACCTATAAAAGCCATGAGTTTATCTTTTTTTATAGCTGAGTAATACTCCATTGTATAAAAATACCACATCTTTTTTATCCATTCCTCAGTGGATGGGCATTTGCGTTGTTTCCAAGATTTACACATGATCTTAGCCAAAAGGCTGAGAAGCAATGTTTCCAAGATTTAACTATGACAAAAAGAGCTGCTATAAAAATGGGTGCGTATATATCGCTGTGGTATGTTTTTAATTCTTCTGGAAAAAGCACTCCAAAATGTTCTAGAAAAAGATAACAAGGACTGCAATACCATGAACCCCAGCAGAATGAATCCACCAGGCAAGGCAGGCAGTTACACAGAGGGGAAACAAAGGGAACTCACAACAGGAAAATAACATGGCAAGGATAAACCAATACCTATCAGTTATAACCATCAATATTAATGGTCTCAATTCACCAATGAAGAGTCTGGCAAAACTGGTCAAGAAGCAAGATCCAACCATATGCTGCACGCACGAAACATTTAATTCAAACAGAAAGCCATAGCCAGGTGTGGTGGCACATGCCTGTAATCCCAACACTCAGCGGGCAGAGGAAGGAGGCTCACTGGGAGTTTGAGGCTAGCGTAGACTACATTGTGAGAGCCTGTCTCAAAAACAAACACAAAATTCAAAGACTGAAAGTCAAAGGATGGAAAGCAATACTCCATGAGACAGGAACCCGGAGAAAAGCAGGGGTAGCTATTCTGTTTGAAAAACAAATGAACAAACAAAAAAGGGTGTTCGGAATACTCATTGGTACTAAGGTGACCATTGCTTCTGGCCAGCTTAACAGAGCTATGGAATGTATGTATACACCTTTATTAATTTCTGTATATGTGTATGAATTTTCAATACCAGTCCAACAGCAGAGTTCATTCCAGTTTTGTTTTGTTTTGTTTTTGGAAACTAGTGTGCACTAAGCCCAGCTCATTCTAGCTTTTCTGTATTTGTAACTCCTGTCCAACAGTGAGAAGTCTGCCTTCACCAGAATGTTCGCTTACGTAATTCTAGAATACACGTGAAGTTGTTTCAGAATTGCTAATCCATTTACTTCCCTCTGAAAACCTACTACTGACCAGGATGCAATGTTTGTATAATTTATTTTTACTCTTAGAGCACACAACGTCCAGTTGTGCAAACTTACATGCCTAGTTGTTTGCGCCCATGTTTAGTATGGCTGCTATTCATTTGAAATAGAGCGGTTGGCTTTGTGTTTGACAACGGGTACCCAGGGCTAGGGTGTAACTCAGTGGCAGAAAGGCCCTGGGTACAGTCGTTGGCACCACAAAATAAACAAAACACCGAAAGATAGAGACCTGTCCATCTTTGTTAATTTTCTTGGTATGCAAAATACCACCGCAGTTCTTTAAAGAATTACATAGAAATTTTCCGTATCCTTTCCATCCTTTCTCCTGTCCTATGTATGTATGTATGTATGTATGTATGTATGTATTAAGAAATCACTTTTTTTTTTTTTTTTTTTT